TTGGTAATATTATTAGTTCGATCTAATTAGATTTTGATGAAAATTAGTTATGTAAGGGTATCGATAGGGATAATTTTATCATTTAAAAGTTAAGATTCTTTTTTGCACATTATGAAAACGGGGTGCGATCTGAAAAAAACTAAGTTTTTTCATGAAAATCGTTTAATAAAAAATGAGTAAAAAATTATAAAGAGGGAAATTAAAAGGTATTTCATGGTACATATCACACCCCATTAGGAGCTTTATACTTGATATAATAATGAACCAATAGAAGAGCATGAGTGCACATATGAGTCACATAAGCCTCTCTCTCTCTCTCTCAAGGTGGAGATGGAGAGGTCCATAAGTGTTTAGAAGCCAAATGCAGGACTTGGTCTCACGGGGTTAATTAACATTGTCCTTCTCCCATAGTTGACAAGATTGTCATGCATGCCACCTCCTTCTTGGACTTTGCATCCCCCACAAATGGCCACTTGATGGCAGGGGGGATCCCTTCAGGTCTCTCATGCATGGCCCAAAGTGTGGCTTACTGAAGGCAGTACATGTACCTTCCCAAAACCTTCCATTGTTCATGGTGTTCAAGAACATGTAGGAGATGCAAGGCAGCAAGTGGCACAATCAAATGCCAAATAGGCAGAAGTGGTTGTAGCAGTGTGTAGCTTTGGCTGCCCCGAGAACTTCTTGAGGCATAATTAATGACCTTTTCTTTCTGATGTGACCTGAAGAAATCACCATGGTGTTCATATGCCTCCTTACACCTCCAGGTCGCAAACATTCTTTATCCACTCAGGCTTCTGCATGATGCAGAATGATGTTATAATCATTGGATTGGACGGTAACAAATGATATCGTCGTTATATATTATTGGACACGACGAATAATTCGAGAAAGAAAGAATTATCAGTATAGTTACAAAAGCCACCACTAGATAGCTGTGAACGTGTACTATACTAAGATTTGATTCTAAGATATATTATTATGGATGACGATGTCGAACTCAATATATTATTATTAACTTCAGTTTTTTGAATCGATGATTCAAAATTAATATGTTAATAAGTTATTTATTTCGTTATCATAACAAAAATAAAAATTGTTTGGATTGGATAGTTTGTGAAGATACAATCTTATTGTGCTTTGATTAGAAATCACAAAAACTACCACAATTGATGAAAAGATGGAGACAACCCAATCCAACTCTATTTCATTGTGAAGATGCAGTGGAGAGTACAAAAACCAACTGGTGCAGAAAGCAAAGTTGCAACCATCATGAGGATTCTTTGAATTCTTCAGTAGCCCAAGTGGTTGAAGGCATGTCACTGAGAAAACAAGCATTACATGATACTACTAAGAACATACTTATAAAACCCAATCAACTATTTTTCTTCTATAGTGCAGCCAAACAAAGAAGCTATGAATAGCTCGAGTATACAGATTAGATAGTGTTCGTTCAAGTGCAAAACAATAATAGAAATCAGCAGATTGATTCCTGTATTCTTTTTCTCACACAGATGACATCAAGGAGTTCGACATCCCTTTATTTTTTGTTTCTTCCAAAGATAAGTCGAGGATGAACTGTCAAAGTCTTATCCTTTTAAATGGGTGCATGAAATCTAGAAATGACAAACAATAATTGTTCTCTCTATGGTCTTATCATCAATGTTTCTTTGGGGGACAGATGTGCTCCATCATTCTGGTTTTTAATGAATCAATCATTTAAATTTGTAAGGATTCAAGAACTAGTATGTGAACAGCAAGACTACTATATCGGACGGACATATCACCAGTCCACTGTTCTTAGTATCTTGAATGAAGCAACTCAGCCTACAAATCACACCACAGAAAGGGACAGATCGTAGTAAACTTAGAACAGATGGTTCTCGGCAAGACTGACCTTTTGAATGCCACCTAAAGAACTCACAATTGTTCTCCAACCATTTTCAAGGTTTGATCTATATATGGAAAAGTATTGAGTCCGAATCTATATATTCCAAAGCATGGAAACAAAAAAAAAGAAAGTTCTTGCTAGATCTGGCACATAAAATAATCGACTTAAATCAAGAAATTGAATAAAACAAAGATCGTAATGGTACATTTAAAGATTGTTATCAAAGGGAAGGTTTGTGGGGAAGACACAAAAAAGTTTCTTGGATAGTGGATTCTATTATTGCTTTTGTCAGTATTTATTTCCTCCATGTTATTCGACAAGAGATTTGTAGCAGTTGATTTATGATGGCTACGGATGCTGTTGGATTCTGACTTTGGAGGTGGTGAGAGTACGATGGACGGAAGCCCTCGTTCTCACTTACATTTTCACTTCATGCACTTTCTCCGAACACTTAAGCCCCTCATCCACAGAATAATTTAGAGGGTAATTATAAATCAGATATATATTAACAAATGAAAATCGTCCATCGGTAAGTTCAGTCCGACTGATTCACTATCGAAGGTACAGATCCTTTCTGACTCCTTCTGGTTGATGTGGAGAGCTGGCGTGACGAGTCGATATGGAGAGCCTACTACGGAAGTGGTTTGATGGGAGCAATCTGACCCTTGTATGGTGGAGTCGGGTTAGAGAGCTGACGTGATGAGTCGATGTGGAGAGCCTACTGTGGAAGTGGTTTGACGGGAGCAATCTGACCCTTGTATGGTGGAGTTGGGTTAGAGCGCTGGCTCATCCTTGTTGTTGGGTCGCCTCCTGGTTGCATCTCTGGATGGCATCGGGGGTCTCACACGACAAGTCTACACTGAGGGCGTTCCAGCTCGACCCCTCCGATGCTTTAGTCAGCGAGACGGAGAGAGAGGTTACTAATGTAAGTGAGAGAGTAAAGAGCTCTTGTCCCCTTGAGCGTTAAGCGAGAACTTGGTTGCTAAGTGAGTAAAGAGCTATTGCCCCCTTACCCCCCTTTTCTAGTATGATATAGGGCTTGGCTTTTATACTTAGGCGCTAAGCGACATGGACGTGCATTCGCCAAGGCCTTGTCTTCCCTCTATCTGAGCCCTAGCAAGACAGTAGCCGAGGGCTTTGGTTGTACATTGGTGAGGAAGTGAAGCTCAAATTCTTTGGCGAGTTGTAAAAAGAAGGAAATTAAGAGGGGTTTCAGACACTGTACCCCGGCATATTATGGTATCCAAAGTATTGAACAGAGGCATCTGGGCCCGGAACGCGATAATGTGCTTTGTAGGATTGGAGTTGTCATCAAATGTTTCTAGGTTGAGGAGGCAGAAACCGACTAGGATAAGCTCTTTTTGGATGCTTTAGACAAAGGGAGAAACATGGGATGCATCAAGTTTACTATGGGAATGCTGGAACTACCGTTGGACCTTGTCCAACTGTCGATTCATGGCTTGGAGTTGCGCCTTCATCGAGTCTTCCCAGGAGTTGATTGATTGGGCCTCAGATTCCGGTATAGTGTGGGTGTGGCTCGACGAAGCGATGCATTTCACAATCGGGGGACGCGGAGCAGCGTGACTCATCCCCACGATTGGGGTTGTCAATTGTGGCAACTGGGGGAGGAGAGGGGTGATGGCTTGTATCATCTTGGTGAGGGCTTGAACCTACCGAGTGAGGCCTAAGAACACCTTTAACGGGATGTGTAGGGAGCCTGTGCTTGGCCCTGAGGGGAAGTCTTGGGTCATTGAGCAAGCGTCAGTAGTGCCCTGGTGTTTGGGTCGAAGTGGAGGCGTCGACCTACTGAGAGGGGGGGTGCATGCCCTCCCTACTCAAAGGAGCCTGGGTCCATGGGTAGCACCTCCTCACTGGGGTGCTCATTAGGAGGAGTATTGGAAGGATGTTCCTATGACATTTAGCCCTCTTTCTAGTGCTAGAATATTAACATACGGAAACCGTCGACTGGTGAATAAGTTCGGTTGGTTCACTACCGATGGTGTCAGTCCTTCCTAATGACTCATTGCTGACGTTGAGAGCTAGCATGGTGAGTCGGTGCAGAGAGCTTGCTGGGGAGGTAGTTTGCTAGGAACGATCTGGCCCTTGTATGGTGGAGCCAGATTAGAGAGCTAGGTCATCCTTGCTATTGGGCTGCCTCCTGATTGCGTCTTCGAATGGCACCAGGATTCCTACACAATAGGTCTGTGTCGGGGGTGTCCCGACTCCACCCCTCCGATACTTAAATCAATGAGACAGAAAGAGAGGTTAACAATGTAAGTGAGAGAGTAACGAGCTCTTTTTTCCTGTTTTCCAATATGATCCGAGACTTAGCTTTTATACCTAGGTGATGAGCAGCATGAACGTGCATTCACCATGGCCTCCCTTACCCTGTATGGCAGAGGCATTTAATGAGGGCGACTTGTTGGCATGTGTCCTTTGGTGTTTGAGGCGATTCGTTGGGGGTACGCTTTTGAGATGACTTCATTGTCGCTTTGGGTTAGGCAGGGAGTGGTGCTTTATCGATCGTCGGAAAGGGAAGGTTAGTGAATGCTAACTATACTATCAATCATTAAATACAGAGGCATGAATTCTACTGATGTATCAGCCAGGAATAGGTCGTGTGAGCTCATTTCTAGAAGTCAGGGTAGGCGACGTGACCTCCTATTGGCGACCATAGGGAATGACCGTAGGGTCAATCATTAATGTGGAGGCATGTCTTCTGCCAATGTATCAATCAAGAGTATGAGCTCAAAGTCGGAGAAGGCAACGTGACCTTATGCTGATAACCACATGGAGTAGGTGGTTCCTGAAATTACTTACGTGACGGAATGAGCCAAAGAGTGCCAAAATTATCTCTATCAGTACCTTCTCTCGTGCTGTCCTCATTCATTCTACATTTAATCGGGTCACAATTATCTGTGTGACCTTTCAGTTTTCTAATTAACTTCATATATTCTAATAAATTAAGTTTATTTTTCCAACCCGCACGTTTATTTTTCCGCAAACAGAGGTCGTATTTATAATGAGGAGAAGAAGTGACAATGGCGCAGCGGAAAGAGCCGATAGAAGGGAGAGAGAGAGAGCGGGGTGGCAGCTTCCAAGTATCCGCGAGATGGAGGAGAACAAGGTGGGGAGACCATCAAGGTTCAGGAAGGTGTGCGTGTTCTGCGGGAGCAGCCCCGGCAAGAGGAACTGCTATCAGGATGCTGCTGTGGAGCTGGGAAAAGAACTGGTAATTAGCTCGATTCCCGGTGCTCCCTTTTATCCTTCGTGAGCTTGCGATCATGGTGTCCTCAAGCGAGAGTTGTCACAGGTGGCCAGGAAGGTTGGCCTTGTGTACGGAGGTGGGAGCGTGGGTTTGATGGGACTGGTTTCCGAGGCTGTTCATAGAGGTGGTGGCCATGTCATTGGGTAAGCATGCACAGATTGATTTCAGTGCCAACATTGTTTTCTGTGCTTTCTCCTTCCTGTCCGTCCCTCCTGTTAATCCCCACTTTGTCGTGTTCTTCTAGGATTATCCCGAGGACCCTAATGTGCAAGGAGGTGAACCATCTTTGATCGCCATTACTTCTCTGTTCCAAGTGCTTGTTGAAATGCCATCTTTTTAACAAGCATGGTTGGTTGCTTGTTTGTGGATTCAGATCACCGGAGAAACAATAGGCGAGGTGAGACCAGTGGCCAGCATGCACCAGCGCAAGGCCGAAATGGCTCGCTACTCCGATGCCTTCATCGCACTGCCTGGTCTCTATCTCTACCTGTGGTTGTCATAGCTTTCCCTCCCCACTGCTCCCAGTTTCAGCTGTCTTTACGGCTTGTATCCGTGCTACAGGCGGGTACGGGACGCTGGAGGAGCTCCTGGAGGTCATCACCTGGGCTCAGCTGGGCATCCACAGCAAACCTGTAAGCCTTTGCCGTCCGCTCTACGTACTTATCTGGTAACATTCGGGTAAATAGAGCGTGCGTGCTCTTGGCATGGTAGGTGGGCTTGCTCAATGTCGACGGCTACTACGACTCGCTCTTGGCATTCATAGACAAAGCTGTAGACGACGGCTTCATCCAGCCAATCCAGCGGCGTCTCGTCGTCTCGGCGTCCAACGCCGGAGACCTCGTCCAAAAACTCGAAGTAACGGCCGCTCTTCTCTTCACGTATCTCCCTTCCCTCTTACACTATGCTCTCAATTCGACTCCAAACACCGATTGGAGCTGCAGGAATACGAGCCTGTGCAGGACGACGTGGTTGCGCGGCTTCGCTGGGAGATGGAGCAGGTTGCATCTCGGGAACGGTCTCCATGAACCTTGTTCGTGATTTGTCTGAGACTTGGGGGAAAGCTCGGCCTGTGTTCGTACGTCTTTTGCTACTATTGTTGTAGCCTTTCACTGAAACTGTGCGTATTTAATCCGACAAAAACATCGTACATTGGCTTTTTATGCACCTATTTGGTACAATTTGGCCTAACCCAACCCATCTAACCTGATCAAATGGGTAACAATTTGATCCGATGACATGATACGGATGAACAGTAACCAGGAGAGAAGTTGCACTCGGGTGTATACTATTACGACGTAGTAGTAGAGCTTTCTCAAGTGATGGATCCAAGGGTTACCATCAAGTATGTGATTAGATTCCTTCAATAGGGGACGTACATGAGTCATGCATCGCGTTGTCTGAATCTTCCTAATATCAACAACAAAGAGTGACATCAAGTGAGGAGCCACTTATACGAGACTGGGATCGACATTTGAGAGGTGACCAGTGGAGGGGGAAGAGGAAGAGAAGGACGTTCCGTGGCGTCCGACGAAAATGTGGGGTTCGCGTGCACGGCAACACGAACACCCATCTCTGCGCCCCCCCAACATGTCGGCCATGGCGGTAGAGATGGATCCCAGTGATACCACTCGATACCGGCGACTGGAAGCTGTGGTTTCTCTCCTGTGTTCGCATCATGTGATGCCACAGTGCGCTCCCGTTAGAATCCTGCTAATAATTATGGTTGTCTTCTTCCCGAGGAGACACTGTGGGTGGTGTGGTGTGGTGTGGTTCCGATCTGTGGCCATGTCCGATGATCAATCATGGAGGCTTAACGACCCCTGCGACAAGACTTTTGAGCTAACTTCGGGTGCTCTCTGCTAGCTTTTGGTGCACAGCTGCTTCCCGGTGGGGGCTGCACGCTCTGGCAGCGGTGGAGTGAAGCACAAAGGCGGCCGGGCGTGGAACTCCACATCGTCTCTCCCCGGTGCAATTAACCGAATCTAATGATGGTTGTGCGGATTCACGTGCATGGTTTCACGTAGTGTAATCCTTCTTCTATGCTTCGCCTCTACCAGAGAAGCTCTGGTTTCGGTTGTGTCTTGTCGCTGTTGCGCACAGGTGGGAAGTCGATGGAAGGAGAAACCACGCCAGATTCGTATTAAGAAGGAAGGATAGTGTATGATAAAATTATTATGATTCTCTTTAATATTTTAATAATATATTTTTATAATTTTAAATCATAAAAATTATATCAAATGAATCAATAATTTATTATTAATTAAAAATTATATAATTATCATGTTTTGTAATCTCATAAATTCATACTCATTATTAATTAAATTTTAAGATAGTCATTTCTTTTATTGGTATCATAGCTTTATACTCTAATTTCTTGTAAGTTGCTTCGAGTTTTTTCTTTTTTGTTTTACCTTGATTGTTTAAGTCATCTATAAGTTTATTTTTTTCTCAACAAAAATATATTTATGATCTTGAGGTCAATATCGTTGCTATATCAATCTCTACAATTGTTCCTCTTACCTTATCATACTATTAATTATGGCTTATTTTATCAAAATGACTCTCGTTTGTTGTTTTATACATTTTTGAGTGTTGATCGGATAGTTAATAAGGATGATATGATATTTATTGGTACTTATATCATTTTTTTTATCACAATCTAATCGTTCGGAATTCCAAAAAATAATGCTATGTTACAAGATCTTTAGACAGACTGAATATTGAGCAATTACTTTTATAACTATTGAATTTTATTAGATTCAATCATTATTATGTAAACTATTTGTCATATTCTCTTATCCTTCATTTATATATTATGATAATATCATAACAACATATCTATATAATAATTCTGTATTTTACTCTAGAATGGCACATAACTATCAATTTTAATCTTGTTCGTGATAAAGTTCAAAATGATAAATTATGTGTCTCTTATATCTCATCTTCTAATCAAACTATAGATGATTTTACTAAGCTTGTCTTGCAAGCAATTTATTTTACTTCGATCCAAGATCGATACCTCCTATAGCAACATCATCTTGTAGGGGCATATTAGAAAGGATATTATTGAGAATAATAAATCATGATAAAATTATCATGATCCTCTTAATATTTTGATAATATATTATTTTAATTTTAAATCATAAAAATTACGATAATATATTATCATGATTCCATGAAGTAACGAGGATCATAATCTCAACACGATCACCTCATGATTTATTATTAATTAAAAATTACATTAATATTATATTTTATAATCTCTTTTTTATGTATATAAATTTATATCTATTATCAATAAAAAAAAAATAATTAATTATTTCTTTCGATTAGAACAACCTGCACTATGTTTGCAGCGTTCTATGACTGCAGTGAGACACTTGGTGTGATCACTTGCTATTACTTGAAGGTAAAGATTGACAGTGGAATCCTCTCTTGTTTGTGTTTACATGGGATTCAAAGTGAAAGATTTGATGATTTTTCTTGGCAAACACTCTTTTCTTTTTGTCAGAACGTATATTTTATTTATATATGTATATATATATATTTACAGACGATTAGATCTCACGATCGTGACAATGGAAGGAAGAAGCAGCATACAAGTTGCTTCGACAAGATCAACTGTTCCATGGTGGCTTAATGATTGGCTATTAGCAGCAACTCCTAACACATTGGCAACAAATGAATCTTTCTTGGTTCCATTGGGGAATTAAGCTTGATGGCTTCTCTTGTTACATGTCATGCAATGGTGGCTGCTGGTTAGACTTGGGAACGAGAACCTCATCTGTCCTCTCTTCCCCAAGCTTCTCTCGTCCACCACTGGGCTTTAGTATATGAATGAGATCTTCTCTTTGGCCACCATTGCATGACAATGGTGGCAATGGACCAAGTGTTTTATCAGCAAGAAAGATTATTTCTATCAAACCACGTCTAATCTTATATGTTAGAGCTGAAGAGTGAAGGCCTCGTAAGAAGTCAGAGGTCATTCTTCCCGTAAAGACATTATATATCCTTCATCTCCGACGGATAAAATCATGTGAATTCATTTCATGATAATAATTCTCACAGGATACATTTGATATTACACCGGTTTAGAATATTAAATCACACATGATTTTAATACTCGCTTATGTTACGATATCTTAGAAGATAATTTTGATCAGAGGATTCTTCTAATTACATTTTCTAGACCTTATATACTCACCTATATATAGACAATAACTCCTACGGATAAAATATAGATTATAGAGATATTTTCTTTCTATCTTCGTATAATTATGATTATATGAAAGATAGAAAGAGATGAGAAATGTGTCACTAGATCAGATATTATTAATCATAATATAAAGATATGTAGACCTAAACTTTGATCTATATTATTTAATTTTAATCTTAGTATTAATTTTTTTTGCATGATATTATTTTATGCTTACCGCATCGTATCGTTCAATTAGTAAGATTCTAAGCCAAATGGGTGTGACTCTCTTAGTGTGGGCTTTTCAGTCTTTTTATAATAATCCATTTCTAACTTCATTATATTTATTTTAAAAATTAAAAAAAAATTACGATCAATTTCTTTGTGTAATATTAATTACCGCATATGTATTATTATTTCCACATAATATTAATTCCAGAGTTAATTACCGTATCTTTATGTAATATTAATTAGCGTATCTTTGTGTAATCTTAATTCGAGAGAGTATTTGGCGTAACGAAACCGCCGTTACAAAACGCGAAAACAACTCTGGAAGCTTCCAATCCCCTCCTCCTCCTCCTCCTCCTCCGGCCAGTCTTCCCTCTTTTGTGCCGCAGTAAGAGGCCCAAATCCCCTCCCGTTCTTGATCCTATCGATCCTTCGATTGGATCCGATCCTCCTCGGCGCGGCGTTCATGGGCGCCGACGGGGACCCCGACGGCACTGGCGACTCGGACACCGTCACCCTCCAAGTCCGGTGCTCCAACGGGTCCAGGTTCTCCGTAGAGGCCGCCATCGATTCCACCGTCGGCACCCTCAAGGCTGCCCTCGTCGAGAAATGCGACGTCCCGGCGGAGCAGCAGCGGCTGATCTACAAAGGCCGGATCTTGAAGGACGAGCAGACCCTGCAGAGCTACGGTGCGTCCAGTCACCCTTCCCCCCCCCCGTGTTGTCTCCCTTTTGTTCCTATCGCTGACGCTTTTTTCTCTTCATGTCTCCTTTTCTTGTGATGTTACGTAGAATAGTTATTTCTGTGGAGTAAATATTGTCATTCTCATTTTCACAAACAATTTCTTTATCTTTGTTTCTTTTTATTCGATTGTATGAAACATCAGGATGTACCTCGAGAACGAGAGAGATGGAAAGAAGAGCATAAGGAATGAAATAAGTGACGCGTTAATGGGCTTCTAAAAGATGAGATAGCTTTCAATGCTATAAATATAAACGAATTTTATTATATTATCTGAGCACAAGTTAGTATGGAGAAATGTTTTTTCATCCTTGTTGTCATCTTGATTACCAGATACCCTAAAACTGAAAGCAAAGTGTTGGAAAAAAACTAGTTGATCAGCCTTTTCCTTCGATCAAAATCTTAAGTCTAAGGGTAAGAACATATATATAAGAAATTGCTTTGCTGAGATGAGCTTGTAGAGGCGTGCATTGTCCTTGTGGAAGATTTAGGTCTCACTAATATAATTATCCATGGACCAATATAGTAAACAGTTCTGACCATAAGGTTCTTGCTGCACTTGTAATTGGTGAACTAGACTAATGACTATTTATTTGACTTATATAGCAGCATTTTTTTTTTTGGCTAGGATTTAAGGTTTTTTGTCTGCAATATGGAATTGCTAATAGGTAAAATTTTTTAATGCGGTTGTAAAAGCTCTAGATCACCTATTCTAATAATCTGGTTTTATTGGTTGAATTTAAACAATGGACAAATGGTTTTGTTTTTAATTAGTGTTGGCAAAAGAAAATTTCCATACAGATAGAAGATTTGACTAATGTGTAAATTTTCCCCTGAATCGCTTTGAACTAATTTCAT